AAAATCGTTGATAATAAATGATGTGCGGAAAATTGAAAACAAAGTCCAAGTAGTTCGTTTTGGGTCAGTTAGTTTATATTTTGTTAAGAGAATTTTTTGGTAAACTTCTTTAGTGAATTTTTAGATAGATGGCAATGATTTGAGCTATTTTTACAGAACTTTCTATAAATTTAAAAGAGAGTTATCTGCGATTTTGATTTCGATCAATACGTCGAATACAAAACAATGGCATATAATTAATGTTCTTGATGAATAATTAATCAGAGCTGATTTTTAATCGAAAGTATATTTTTGATCGTATGAAAAACGTATGACGTCACATATGACATATGTGATATGTCAGTCGTCAGAATTGTTTTATATATGTGGGATTGGAGGGATTTTCCTCCCATATAAGGGTAATTTTTTCGGGTAGCCCCCATATAAGAGTACCTTTCAATTTTCGGTATTTTGGGTTTCATGACCCGTTTTTATACCCTCCACCATAGTATGGAGGGTATATTAATTTTGCATTCCGTTTGTAACTCATCGAAATATTAATTTCCGACCCTATAAAGTATATATATTCTTGATCAGGGTAAACTTCTAAGACGATCTAGCCGTGTCTGTCCGTCCGTCTGTTGTAATCACGCTATCTTCTGAAGGAATTGAGATAGGTTGCTGAAATTTTGCATAGGGTTGTCTTTTGTCTGCAGGCAGGTCAAGTTCGAAGATGGGATATATCGGTCCACGTTTAGGCATAGCTCCCATATAACAGTACCTCACAATTCTCGGTATTTTGGGGTTCTTGAGCACGTTTTTCAGCCGAATACGCTGAAATTTGGTACATTGAGTTCTTATTGGGTACTAAATGTCTCCACAAAAATATATAAATATAGGTCCACTTTTTCTGGTAGACCCCATATAACGGTACCTACTGATTTTCAGTATTTTGGGGGCTTTGATCATATTTTTCCACCGAATTGTCTGTAATTTAGTATTTTAAGTTCTTAATAGGTTCCGAATATCTCCACAAAAAATTATTAACATCGGCCCATTTTTTCGGGTAGCCCCCATATAAGGGTACCCCCAATTTTCGGTATTTTGGGGTTCTTGAGTACGATTTTCAACCGAATTCTCTGAAATTTGGTACATTGGGTTCTTATTGGGTACCAAATATGTCCACCAAAAATTACAAATATAAGTCAATTTTTTTTGGTAACTCCCATATAAGGGTACCCCCAAATTTCGGTATTTTGGGGTTCTTGAGGGCGTTTTTCAACCGAATTCGATGAAATTTGGTACATTGGATTCTTATTGGGTACCAAATATCTCCAATAACAATTAAAAATATAAGTCCATTTTTTCTGGTAGCTCCCATAAAAGGGTACCTCCAAATTTCCGTATTCCCTGAAATTTGGTATTTTGTAGCCGTATATGGTAACCAAAAATTATTAATAGTCAACCCCTTTTGGGGGTAGTCCCCATATAACCCCATTTTTTATATTAAAATAATTATCTGATTTTTCCGCGTTTTGGGTTTGGTTCTAACACTCTGATGTAATCATTTCAACTGCGAAGGATATCGAGATAAAAAAACTAGAACATACGGTTCGATAATGAACCATATGTGAACTATAGCCCGCATTTAGGCTTAGCCGTAGCCCCTGTGTGGGAGGTACCAGAAGGCATGGCCCGATATTCCCCAAATTCGGACTTGAACTAAGTTTGGAAGAAATAATAAGATGGGATGAAATATCAAATTTTTCTGAAACGGATTTGGTCCAAAGAAACATGGGTCTAGAACCAATATTTCGATGATGCACATTTTCACCGTGTGAAAGTGTATACACACTAATTAACCATAAGGCTGAGGTTATAATTTTCTATTACATAATTATTGTTTACATAATCGGTTTGTAGAAATGTCGGTATAGGTCCATTTTTTGGTATGTTCTCTATATTTTCATTTCAAGTACCTGCCAGTATATCTATGGTGGAGGGTATCCAAAGTTCGGCCCGGCCGAACTTAACGCTTTTTCACTTGTTTTATATTAAAATAGTTATCTGATTTGTTCCGTGTGTTAGGGTTGTTCCTATATAGGCGTATTCTACCATAGTAAGTGGGATTTTCGTTACTCGAAATTGTCATTTTTACCAACAAAGTATAAAAGGCTATCATTATAAAAAACTCGATCTTGACGATGATGAAATATAACGGCCAACATATAGGCATCTCCCCCATATAATGATACCTCCTGAAGGAAAGTATTTAGATATAAAAACTAGTATATTGGCATCGAAATTCAGCTATATTACTCATTAATTAGGCATAGCCCATCATATAATGATAACCCCAAATATTCCCTAATTCCTAGATATGTAATCAATATCGGTCCCCTTTAGGCATAGCCTCATATAACTTTGCACTCTAAATTGCAGTATTTTGAGGATTTTATATACATTTTCTAATCGACCATACACGGTCCACGTGTTGGGGTTTTCAGATTTTAGGAAAATTTCCGATTAAAATTGCTGAAATTTGTATTTTGTGTACATTCGGTTTGTAGAATTATCAGTATAGGTTCATTTGTTGGTATGTTCCCTATATGTTCATTTCAAGGTGGAGGATATCCGCCGAACTTAACACTTGTTTTTCAATAATAAGGACCATTAGGCATGGATTAAAAAAATATTGTTCTATGGCCAACAGAAGGCCTGGATTTTTTAACCTTAAAGATTTTCCGGAGTTTCATTTTATTTTATTTTTATTCCGATAATTATTTGTCGAATCATCCAAATTTTAACACATTTTTCTGTACATACGTAGCTTTCGTATGACCTAGGATAAATGTAACAGTATGGGCATCAAGGACCTTGGTGATTATATGAAAACCCCAGAAGATATGTATTTCAATAAATTCGGTATGTATTCCTTATTATATAGAACTGTCGGATTCGTCCGAATTATTTTCTAAGATCATATATAGTTATGCCAAATTCGCAAAAAAAAAAAAATAAATTTCGAAGAAAAAAGGTCTGGTTTTCTAAATTTTTGAAGCGATTTTAATAAATTTAGCACGTTTGTTTACTTGAAAAAGAAATACCAAAAAATTAATAGAGGACTTAGAAAATTCCGAAAGTGATCTTTTTGGGGGGGCTACTAAGAAGCGGTACTTCTATTTCAAATATTGTGTGAAGTTGTTGTTTACCAACCAAGAACGCGGAATGTCAAATAGTTACCCAATTCGCACATGGTTAAAAAATTGGCCTAGGACCATTAAAATACCTTTATATAGGGGCCAGGGCCAAAATCGTTCAATAGTTATAAGTATATCACATTCTTCAAAAACCGAAATTTGGATGTATCGTTGTAAAAGGGGCTATACTGAAACGTAGATTGATCGACAACCAATTTGGTAGAAAAACGTATGCGGAATCCTTAAAATACAAATTTTGTTACATTTTTGTAGGGATATTTGCTACCTAATGTGCAACCAAAATACCAAATAAGTCTTATAAATCTTCACCAAATCACATTGAATAATTGGGGTACCGTTTTATGGGGCTACCCACAATCCTCCGTCAATAATATTGTGATAAGAAGATTTGAGTTCCCGAAATACCAAAAAACGTTCTGAAAATCCCAATTATTGGAGATAAACTTCTTTTGTTAGCATATGGAACGCTGTATCTTAATTTCTACACCAAACATGCTAGGAATAGCAATGCAGCGTTGTGTAAGATTCAAAGCTCTATCACAAATATTGTTCTATGGTGAATTTAACAGATAGACGGACATGGGTAAATCGTCAGAGAATATTATTCTTTGGGGGTTAAATATTTGTTCCAAATGGAATGTCAAATTTAAAACAATGGTGTGTGTTTTAAATTATCCTCAGGTATATCTATTACGCGCTCAAAACCTTCGCCCAAACACTTTTCCCACTTAGATTGATACACCTCCAAGGTATTGATGGGGTGAGCCATCAATTCCAAGTTTTTTCCGGTGTAAAGGCGGAGAAGTGAAGACGGATTATTGTGTACAATGACAATGTCGGTTCCCTTCATCGTCGTACAAAAATTGAAGTTCATCGATTGCCTCTTTACGTGATAATCTGTGTCGAAAGTTGTGTAAAATGATAAAAATCTCTTCCGAGTTTCTGTATTTTGTTGGTAGTAGGCGCCTTTTCATCCTGAAGTGGTAATAATTTGGAATTCTGATTGCTTGGAATTGCCAGTTTAATGGTTAATGGTTTGATACTGAAATTGCGATGTACCGTATATTGGGGCTACCCAATGAGAACCTAAAATTCCAAATGACAGTGGTTGAAAAAACGTAATTCGCAAAATACCGAATATTTGGTAATACCAAAAGATCCATCGATATAATATCCATTTTCGAAACTATTTTTAGCGGACAAATTTAATTTTAGCTTGAAATTGGACAAGCATCAAAAAAGCTGGACCTAAATGACAATGGTAGGTCAAAAACATATATAGTAGATTTCGGGTTGTATATATGTTAATATTATTTTTTAATTAAATAGTGACTTTTAAAATGGTACTTTCTATTGTGTATACGTCACAGCCAGATACGGAACCAAGTAATATAAAATATTCGAAAAATGATAAAATCTCGTTAAAATTTAAAATATTTTCCATTTATATTTCCATCAAGTTAATCATTTTACTTCAATTTCAGAACAAAAACAAAAGCCAATGTTAGCGGTGGGCTTTGGTTTAAAATTCATTACTTGTTTCGTCAAATTCAAAAACACAGCAGCAGCGAGAACAACAAATAAAACCCCACTATAAGACACATTTCTATACAAATTGAAATATCTGATTTATTCATATAGAAACTATCAGAAAACCGCAATTTTTTATTGTATATATTTGTTCGACCGTCTGTCTGTCGGTTCATTCATTCGTGCCAGTCATCCAACAATTCATTGACTCGCATTTATTCATTCGCTTATTTGTTTTATTTCTCTCTCGTTTTTTGTTTTTTTTTTTAGGTCTGTCAAGCATCAAATCAATTTGGCGAACAGCGGATTGAAATTCGTTTATTTGTGAATTCATATGTTTCCGTTCACATCTTGCCACAAGTTCAAATTGTCAATTCGGGTGGAACGGCAATTTTCAATTGTTCGACAACGGGTTCGGCGATCGATAACATCGAATGGCTGCACAATGGCAAACCATTGCAGGAGGATAATATTCTAACCACTGGACGTGATAAGTAAGTACATTGAAGAGGGGTGGAAGAGTGTGAGGCGGGTGTGCATGTGTGAATTTGTATATGGGTGTGTGTGAGTAAGTGAATGAGTGTACAAAAGCATTTAAAACTAAATATCAATATAGACATTCATATAACATATATGTATGTTTTCTATGGCTTTTGCCATTTTTATCTATATGTAGACAGTTCACAGACTGAAATGTACACATACAATTGTGAGTATATACATCAGTGCATTTATATCAACTAAATTCACTATATATAAAGCCACATGTTATGCAATAAAAATTATACACTCATGTATATTAGAGTGCTGAAATTCGAAGGCGTTTTTGGTGGTGGGTTCCACGGAAAATTTTTAATTTATATATTTGAAATTTAGGAAATCACATTGTGTTTATATGACAACAATAATAGTAATGGTTTTATACACAACATTGGGATATTGTAAAGTTTTCAACGTCTTCTTGTATCCTTGCCGTTCCACAGGTCATACGTTAGGCTAACATATCAGTTGCCATGGGTTCATACTGATCGATTAATATTTGAAAAAGAATTTCTTTGCCGAAATACAGCAACTAATGAAATCTCACCTTCTCCATTCAATATTTGACCAGTGGGCTGGTAGATAATTCTGGTAGTAATTTGAAAGTTATTCAATGAGGTAGCAAATAAGCGTTTAACTCTGAGGTTTGTAACATTGCATTCATTTATTTGTTGACTTAACCCAGATAATGTCTGATATTTTTTTCAAAACCTAATATTAAAATATAACTATTATTTTTTAATAATTTATAAATTTAGAAAATGTTTATTATTTTACTAGGAACCAGAATAAGATACCAAAAACAACATTCCTGAAATTCACAATAATGATTGTTTTCATTCATCACCATTAAAATATGTGGTATTTTCCTACGAAAACAGTGTCATCAAGTATTAATTACGTTAAGTTCGGCCGGGCTGAATTTTTTACACTCTCCACTAAGAGGAACACATTTAAAATACCTAAAATCGATTGGCACTTTCGTGGGAATGCTATGCTAGATTGCCACCAGAAGAAATCGAAATATCAAACTAAATACTAGTTTGATATTTAGTTTAGAAAATTTGGCTAGGCCCTTTAACATTCTGAAATCCTCACAATAACAAAAATTGGGGATACCGTTATATGAGAACCCAAAATATCAAAGTAGAACCAATTCAGTTGAAAAAGTATCCAATATATCGAATAATAGATGGTCGCGGAACTTACTTCCCAATGAGAATTCCAAATGTAAAATTGGAGCCATTTTGTTCGAAAAACGTCCCCAGACTCCGATTGTTAAATTGATATTGTTTGTTGTTGCTGCATTCTAAAATGTGCCACACCAAAGTACCGGTTTTAGAACCTTACCGACCTAATACATTCGAATAATTTGTCTTCGATTTAAAAATGTCTGAATGTTTGTCGGGGATAACTCTGAAGGGTAGTAGCCAGTTTGTTCTAATTTTTGTTCATCGCATTATTGCTCAATATGGGATGATAGATACCAAGCAACGGCTCTGATTGGCTTTAACATGGCGAAGCCCACGCTGAACTTGGTCCCTCTTTCATCTCAATTGTGGACACTGACCTCCCCGTGGTGTCACCTGGAGTAACTATTTTCATCACCCGTTGAAATAGTGAGCAGATATGTGCCGCGAATTCACCCATAAGAACTAAATAAAATGGGTTGGGGCGTCAGGTTAGTTACCCATACTCGAAAAAAATTTAATACTATGAAAAAGCAACGAAAAAGAAAGCCAAACCCCCCTAATGTTAAAGACCCCCGCAAACGTATAAAGAACCACGATCTGCGAATCTGCACTTGCAATGTGCGCACGTTGTACAGAACAGGCACAGTTTTCGCTTTGGTGGATGTACTCAAGAAGTAAATCAGACGATTACGAACTGCCATGAAACGAGACATGAATTTGGCTGCGGATTTATGGTTAACAGGAGAATAAAAGACCTCGTCACTAGATTCATATAGTGAATTGTTATAATCCGAAGACAAAGATGAGCTGACCAAAGACATAGAGACAGCATATGACAGCGATTTTAATACAAAAAAGGAAGGGAAAATATTTTTGGGCCCACCGTCGGAAAATTCAGCCACCATGAAGAAACATCAGAAAATGGCGTGAGTTTGATTGAATTCGCGGCAGCCAAAAACACGGTAGTCAGTCGCACCAGATTCAAGCACCTCACCAGGCCACCTGGATTTATCCCGATCGAAGAACGAGAAATAAAATCGATCATGTTGTGATAGACGAAAGGCATTCATCCAGTGTTTTAGACATTCGATCGATCCGAGGAGCGAATATCGGTTCGGACCACTACCTTGTAGCAGCCAAGCTTCGCACTCGCCCGGAAATTTTACCTACGGATGAAACACCAAACCGAAGGCTTTGGTGCGGTCACATCCTCCTGTAGAGATAAAGAAGGGAACCTGGTGACAGATACAGACATTTTGAAAGATACAGGCATTTTGAAAGCTTCTGGTATCAAATAGTAGCGGTGAAGATGATATCCCAGAACCAATAATAGATGACGGCCAAGATGAGGTCAAAATATCAATCAATCGGCCCAAGAATAATAAAGCAACAGGTGCCGATGGGTTACCAGCCATTGACATCGACATAATGGGTCGAAAATTGAGAGCGGTAACAGCCACCTTTAAACAAGTTGAGAAGGAGTCTGCCAATGTGGGTCTGGTAGTAAACGGCGAGAAGACCAGCTGATGGTATCAACGCGCAAGACATCCAATAGACTAGGACCAACTGTGGAAGTTTAAGAACTACAGCTTCGAAGTAGTCAAATATTTTATATACATCGGTACCTCCATAAATAAAACTAATAACGCCAGTTTTGAAATTCAGAGAAGAATAGTGTTGGCCAACAGTTGCTACTATAGTCTAAGTAAGCAGTTTAGAAAGAAGGCCACCTCCCGCCAGAGATAAAAAATTCTCCGCCGTTCAATGAACCATGAGTTGTAGCAGCTATTCTTGGACATCGGCATTGTCAGACGTATTGAGCTGTAGGACTAGGTCATGCTGTGAGAATGGATAAAGATGCCGCAGCTCAAAAAGCATATAAAGGCAAACCAGCTGGTGGTTCACGCAGAAGGGGAAGGCCTAGAATGATACCCTAGACAGACGACAGCCTTAATTTGCATTAAAAAGTTCTTAATTTGAATTAATATTTACCCCTGACAAACGAGAGTTTCTGCATTTATGAACCAGTGTATAAGTTTCAAAACTATTGTTTGTCTGTGTGTAGGAAAAATACATTGGCATTTGTTTCCAATATTTTTTGGGATTACGTCTTTATGAAATTGATACATTGCAGAAAGGAAGAAAATCAGCTATAACGATGGTAAAACAGCTTCCAATTTGAATAATTGTTGAATTTTCCTTTATTTATAAATTTAATTTTCATAAACGTAAACAAATTTGACAACAATCAATTTATTTTCTACGGCATTGCCATATTGAAATTGCTTAATTCAGTATAAATTCAGCTTGATTTTGTGCATTAAAAACACATAAAAATTAGAATAATGTACAAGTTAATTTGAATTAAGGCTGTTAATGCAAATTAAGGCTGTCGTCTGTGTAGACTATTAGATGGAAATATCAAGTGAATGAAAACATAGCCGAACAAGGTCTTCCAAACTGGAAAAACTGCGCAAAAAAACAGACGCGCCTGTAAATTTTGTTAAGCTCGGTTTATGGAAAGAATGTTCTGTCAACAGCCAGCTAAGTAAGTAATATTGCTCAACATCTTAAATTGAGTTCGAAGAGGGGTAGTTCTTCTGAAGATCTTCTACTACGTCACGTTCGAAGTGACAACCCATTGCTTTAACTTTTCGTTTCAGATACTTTCTCACAAATATTAAAAATTTTGTTAATATTTTTACCATACCTCTATTAGCTATCAAAAATAAATCTATCCGCTTCTTTACTACCCCCATAAAATTTGACAATTTTGAAATCAAATACGATGTTTAGAAATTATTCTTGAACTTTGGACTTTCATATTTTTTTATTTCTTTCTTATAGTTAACCCTTTGATGTATCAATTAGTGCAACGAAGTTCGCTTCCAACTGTTAGCACACAACTTGCACTAAGTAAACCGGGTTTGATGCTTAAGAACCGCCGCAAAACGAAACGAAATGTGAATGCATGTAATAAAACTATTTATTTTAGATTAGATGTTGTGCACGGCATCAACTAGTTTTATTTTTATTATTATGGGAATCGAATCATAATCATGTTAGGCACAGAAATTGTACCACGAGTTAGACTCGTGGAAATACGTCAAAGGGTTAATTGAGTAATCAAATTGACCCTAACTCTGCAAATCGTAATATTTTTACCTAAACTAAATCTAGTCCGAAGTAGGGACCTATCCATCCATCCGCCTGGTACTTCCCCCATAAAAACGTCTATCGTCGCGATGGAGATCGCAATACTTAGTATACATAGCCCCTAAGTAAAGGGCAATATTGTGAAGGCTTTAGCTGGAACTGTAATTTCGGTTTCATGCTCTGAAAAATAGTGTTCCAAATTACAGACACTATATTAGGAAAACTCCGACAGTATTTTTAAATTTATCGTTTAGTCACCAGGAATCCGATATATCAAATCATTGCCACTTCCTTGAGAAAAAATTTGGGTCTATACCAAAACCAATTTATCGAATGTATTTGTCGTATTTAATTTATATTTGTTCATATTAAAATAACTTAATGCAAGTTACGTCTTCAGTTACTTGAACGCCGTTATCACTTAAATTATAATGACGATCTAGCTTATAACTTTTCTCGCTTAAGGGAACCCCCCCCCCCCCCATTATCGATTTTAATTTTTCAAGATTTTCAATGGGCTGGTAAATCAATACCAATGCTTGTTAAGGTTTGTAACTTTGCACATATATAATTGAAGATTTAAAAGAGAAGAAAAATAATTTACA